GACCTTTATATACAGTAAACGCTAAGGATAATTGTGAAATAACATGATTTGTAGGTGTCGAAAATCAAATTCCTTCATCTTGCAATACAAGGATTAGTTTGATAGTAAAAGAACAATTGTATAGACTTCAAAATGAGAACAGTTGGTTGTTTGTAACTCCTAATAAAGTCATATCAACAATTGCTTGTAAAAATCAAGAACCTATTGATATAGAATAAAAAGCAACAGGCATTTTAAAATTCAGAAAGAATGTAAATTGTATTCTCCTAATATCATATTACATTCAACAAATCAAGACATGAAATCCAAATATTTAAGACATGATATCCAAATATTTATCTGTATTACCAGATTTCTACATAATAAATGATGAATGTTGCAAAAAATTAATTAATAATACTATAAAAGATAAAATAGACTTTATACCTTAAACAAATATAATATGAATTTCGATGACTTAAATATCGCATAACAAACTGTATTATCTTTAGAGTAGATAATAGAAATACTGAAATTGAATTAGAAGATATATCAAACTCTGCTCATACTAAGCCAGTAACTACGTATCCTCAAGCACCTACCATAAAATACCAGAAAACGAGCACACAAAGGCTAGAAGACTGCGCAGTAAATCAGAAGGTGAGTTCCATTTGTGTGAAAGTGTTAAAAAACCCACGTGAGTGTGATCTACTGTGTATCAAAATTTCATTCGTGAAATTAAGAATTAGATTAAGATGCTATTTTTAAGCGATACATTTATTTTAGAAGGAATTAATAGTTAAAATCTGTCATATAGTTTTGATTGATATAATTAATATTTAAAATGTCGGTCTCAGATTCATCTTCAAGCAACATTCAAGGTGGATTTATAGATATTGGTTTAGCAGAACGAATGATTACGCATTGTAATGGAGACACATTTAATGTACACGTTTTTATAGATATTTTTAACAATTCTTATGCATTATTAATCCCAATATTCAAAATGGCATTCGTATCGATAGCTCTGTCAAAGATAGATGGCAATTTAAAAGAACTCTCATAAACAGTACATTTGATTCATGGGAAGACTTAAAAAATCGTTTGTTAGAGAACTATTTAGAAAAGCGTACTTTTGCTCAATGGCAACTAGAATTAAATTAATGTAGGCAAAATCATAACGAACCTGTTTTAAATTACTCGATTTAAATTAATTAAATCTTAAGACCCTAAATAATGAAAGGAAGCTCGCGAAGCAAACATGAATCTGTTAAAAATCAAGCTCTGAATATTTTTATAAGTAGTTTCAACCCACAATTATACATTTTACTAAAGTCTCAAAAACCAAGTAGTTTTGAGGAAGCAGTTTCTATTGCGATCTCAAAAGAAGAAGTGGTTAAATCGCGTCAACAAAATAAAACTCAGACACAGTGAAAAACCTAGGTGTTGCACAAACTGGCAAATGTTTGACATTTATCTATTCAATGTAGAAATAGAAATCTAATATGTAATAAGAACAGTCCAAACTAATAATGTTATAACTTGCTTTGTTTGTAGTAAAGGGGTCATTACGCTAAAGACTGTTGGCATAATAACAACAATAATTTTAAAACTATTTTTTATAATAAATCGTTAATTAATAGTAACTCTAATTCTAAGTTTAACTTTAAATCTCGGTTAGATTACTCAAATAACTTTAACGATTTTAATCATAAATCACGTCAACAGGAGCATTCAAACTTCACCAGTCCAAAGACGGCGGCCGGTCCAAGGACTTCCCAAGAGAACAGGGCCGAATAATGTTAATAGATACAGGCATATCTTCATGCGTAACTTTAAACAGTGAAGAACTTATAAACGGTAGAGGAATGTTTTTAATTAATACGGGTACAGAGGTGACTTTAATAAAAAGTAGCACATTTAAAAAATGACAAAAGTTTACGAAGATCAAAAATTTTAATTAAGAGGAATACATAAGGATGCGATTCCTACAGAAACCAAAAGGTATACGTATCTGCATTTTGAGATAGGAGCAAAACGAGTTTATCACACTTTTTCGGTAGTCCCTGATAACATTCCTATTGATTATGAAGGCGTGATAATTAGTGATTTCTTACAAGCAGTAAATGCAATTATAGATTTATCAAAACGAAACAAGTTGCTAGGGCATTGTTTAAAAGTCGATTATAATAATAAAGTATTAAAGAAATGGGAATTCGTGAGTTCAGATATTGGAAGTAACTGTGTGATTAAGTCACCATTAATATATGATATTAAAAAAATGTGCGTTATGTTTAAAGACATTATTAAACTAATCACTATAAATGAAATGTTAATATACTATTTAATTTAAGTTGTATTTTGCGCAAACAAAACCCCAAATTTCTAGGAATCGTTCTAGATTCCAAATTAACTGGTTTATCAAATTGATATTATGTATCTCGATGTGAAAAAATATTAAACATTTTAAGATGCCTATCTGGTGTTTGATGACAAAATCAAAACATATGAGACGAACAACGAAAATGATAAAATTATGATAGAATGTGGCAAAAGTAATAATTATGTGAATAAAGATTTTATTGTTGTAAAAGGAATTAAAAAGTGTAGTGAAACGGAATATTTATAAGGATTTTATAGAAATACAACCTGGTGAAAAGTTATAGAAATTAATGTAATTGATTCAAATATAAAAGAAGGAATAATACCGGATCGCCGTGTGCGTAATTGACTTTATCAAAAAGCGTTCAAAAGACCTCTCTAAAAAATTACCTTAAGAGTAAACGAAGTAGAATGAAATGGGCTCTTCTCCAAGATCTCGCAAGCTGCAGGAAAAGATCGTGTAACAGCCCAATTAAAAGAAGTGTGCCTTATTAATGTATAAAAAAATAAAAATTTGATCCAATATAGAAACAGATAGAATGGAATAGTTAAAGTAGAATCTGAAATAAGCCCTTATAAAAAGTAAAACTTAGGCAAAGGCACTTACGCCAGGCGAGACTGTATGCAGCGTATGGTTGAAGTATACGAGCAGTTTCTATCCAGTCCGACGTGCGTATTCGGACAGTGCTATATTATGATTTCTTAACACGAGCAGTCAGAAAGGCATTGCGCTGCGCAGGTAGTGTAAACTATTGCTCATTGGACACCCAATAATTTCGGACAGTCGCTTTTGAATGTCAAGAAATAAGATAATGATAAACAAAGAGTAACATCAATAGTTATAGGCAAAAATCTCTTCGTAGTCAGCACTGTTTCAGTTCATAGGTTTTAAAACAAATGAAACTTTGAATAAAATTAAACATGGCAATGAAATGGCATTTGGAAGATATAAAATCTGTGTGCCTACCTATGTTAAATAGACCACAATAGCAATAGTCTGAAGCTACCCAGCACGTCAATAATGAACTAAGATCAGCATATGTGCATTAATGTTTTGCAGATTGAAATGAAAACAAGAACCTTTGAAAACTTGTGGGCAACAATAGTCGCACCTAATCAACGCCTCGATGGTGATGATCGCCGAATGCGCCTTTGACTTTATCAGATGCAAACCTCTCTAAAAATGACACTGGAGTGAACGAAGTAGAATGAAATGGGCTCTGCTCCAAGATTTCGCGAGCTGCAAGAACAGATCGTGTAACAGCCCAATTGAAGAAGTGTGCCTCATTCATGTATTAAAAAATCAAAATTTTATCCAATATCGAAGTAGTTGGAATGGAATAGTTAAAGTAGAAACTAAAATACGCCCTTATAAAAAGTAAAACTGAAGCAAAGGCACTTACACCAGGCAAGACCGTATGAAGGGTATGGTTGAAGTATGCGAGCAGTGTCTATCCACTCCGACTTGCGTATTCGGCCAGCGATATGGTATGATTGCTTAACACGAGCAGTCAGAAAGGCATTGCGCTGCGCAAGTAGGGTAAACTTTTACTCATTGGACACCCAATAATTTCGGACAGTCGCTTTTGAATGTCAAAAATAAGATAATGATAAACAAAGAGTAACATCTATAGTTATAGGCAAAATCTCTCCGCGGTCAGCACTGTTTCAGTTCATAGGTTTTAAAACAAATGAATCTTTGAATAAAATTAAACCCGGCAATGAAATGTTATTTGGAAAAAATAAAATCTGTGTGCCTACCTATATTAAATAGACCACAACAGCAATAGTCAGAAGTTACCTAGCACGTCAATAATGAATTAAGATCAGCGTATGTGCATTAATGTTTTGCAGATTGAAATGAAAACAAGAACCTTTGAAAACTTGTGGGCAACAATAGTCGCACCTAATCAACGCCTCGATGGTGATGATCGCCGAATGCGCATTTGACTTTATCAGATGCAAAGCTCTCTAAAAATTTACATTGGAGTGAACGAAGAAGAATGAAATGGGCTCTGCTCCAAGATCTCGTGAGCTGCAAGAACAGATCGTGTAACAGCCCAATTAAAGAAGTGTGCCTTATTAATGTATAAAAAAAAATAGATCCAATATAGAAACAGATGGAATGGAATACTTAAAGTAGAAACTAAAATACGCCAATGGTCAGTAGTTACCTAGCACGTCAATAATGAATTATGATATATGTTTATTATAGTAATTGAAGACATTATTTAATAAACCACCTTTGTCAAAAAAATTCATGATAAGAGATAGTTGCCTCTACAAGATGGCGTAACTATCTCTTAACATGAAAATTTTTGACAAAGGTGGTTTTTTAAATTATGTGTTCATTTTTAGTCCACCGGCATTATCTTCTGATTTATTTGCCTCATATGGGATAGACTAGGGATTTATTTAATTCTGTAGTAGGTACGCGATATAAGTAGCGGCCTAAGTCTATTGCTCATTTCACTCACGAACCACATAGAAAACTATTTCTACTGGAAGTAACTATAGGTCACGTAAATATACTATTGATAAATAATTAATAATTCCCTGTTAAATGAATTAATAATTACATTATTTAATAATGACTGTTTATTAACTTCTACCAGACCGACATTACAATACCTATTGACGGTGTCTCGCCCGTTATTTTTTTTACAATAAACAGCAGCACATAATTCTCTTAACAATATAAATAAAATGACTGCAATACACCGAAGAGCCTTTTTCTTTTCATTGTGTATTTATATTAAATAGATAACACGAAAAAAAATCTCAGCTGTATCAAATAAATTAAATTATAATTACAGTAGTATTTTTTTACTTACATGATATATTATGATCACATTTTTTATTATTTTGATTATTTCGAACATCTGTAATAATTAATATTCAACTCAGTACTCTGTGTCTATAATTACCTTGCTTAGTCCAGTTGAGTCAACAACTCTTAGCAGATTAACGTTATCGCCTTTACAAATCTGTACAGGTGGATTCGGTAAGTAGGCAAAGCTATCCATGAAGCTTCCTGTTCTGTTTGTAGTGATGTCTTCATCTTGTTCGAACATTCGTAGTTGGTACCAGCACAGTATTGCGCTGCACTCTCCGTCCTTCAGTGGCATCACTGACACAATACTAGACCGCGTTAAGTTGTAGCAGTTAGTTATTAACACTGGCTCCGACAATGGTTCATATTCCAACATAGTCAAATCCAAGTTATGTACCTGAGTCGCTCGATACTTATTGACGTGCGACGCCACATTGAAACCGTTGAGGTTTTTATCGGACAATTTGTTGTTCCTGTCCAACCAGTCGCTGGAAGCAAGCTGAATAATCACATTGATAGTTGTAGGTAATAAGAGACCGCCTGCAGCCAGGTGACAGGATCGCAAGAGCTCAACAGCCTGCCACTTATGAGAATCGATGTCTCCGCGCAGGTGTAATTCTATACAAAATATGGCGTGGTACACTTTATGTTTATAGAATTCACGGTTCCAGTATTGACCGAGTAGAACGGTAATTTTTTCTAGTGGTATGTTATTAGCATTGAAGACTGTCTCTATAAAGGTTTTGTCTTCCTCGTTTGTAGCGTAGCAAACTAGGGATCTAGCACCTCGAAGCATCATTTGCAGTCCAAATATTGGAAAAGGACTGTAGTCGATTACATCTGTTTCGGATATATCTACTGTTTGCTGTAGATATAGACATGCGGCCGGAATGCAACTGATGATTGCTTCTACAAAATCCGTGTCGTTCAGAAATCTAATGACAGACAACGAGATTGTCAATGCATCTTCACTAAATGGTGGGACGAGGCTTAGCTTACCTTCATTAAGCATAAATTTAGCTTGAGTTCTGCGGTACATCTTTACTTCTCTTGATACGAAGTTGGGAAACACTGCTTGCGGCCACCCCCGTACTCGTTTTTCAAAAGTTCTACTAATGTCATGGACTGTGGGATCATTCGTTATGACTGTATTTCTTGACAAATAAAGAATAAACCAGCCAACTATCACGTTAATTTCACCGTCCTCCATTATGACGAAGTTAGCATCGTGATACGATCTTTCATTCATAGCTACCACCTCGTCGTATCTATCAAAATTTATTGAAAACAAGAATAATTCATCAGTAAGAATTTTGAAGTCCTCGTATTTCTCCACATCTTCACTGTAGAAAGTTTTATTGCGAGGCAACTTGCAAAACACCATAGAATGTGGAATGTTCAAAAGATTCCTCATTGTTTTAGACAGCTCATATTTGTTACTTATTCGATTACAATTTGCTCCTGCAACAAAGTATTCTGCACGATATGGCAGGACACGCGGGTGACGACATAAAAGGTTTTTCCAGGCATATTTAAGGTTCCCCAGCATTCCATCAGTAAAAAGGGCCTCGTCGAAATTGTTGATGATTACGAAATTGCGCTCACCCTGGATAGTAGAGGAAACAAAACCTTTGATGGGTTGGTGCGTTTGCAAAATGGTCCAATCCCTTCGTTCCAGTACAATGTTCTGAATGAGTCGTGTGAGGGCAGGCGACGAGTTAAAGCCCAGTGTGGATGGAGCCAGGCATGCATGTGCAGCCAGTGCCGACAGGCCTATACCTCCATCCAGATCTAAGACATGGTCAACGTGTGGCTTGATTTCCGAATATATGGCGATGGTGTACGCTACGTTCCGTATTACATCGTTGTATAGCCTGAAAAGACGTCTATCGAAAATATGTTTCTTAGCTCCGTTGATTCTTATCTCGAGGCTGATGAGGCTCGAATCAATATATTTCGCCTTTTCGTAGTGGCAAAGAGCTTCAAAGTAACGCTTGTTCTTGAAAAAGACATCGCCGATATTGGTGAGCATGCGGACGTTGCCGGGATAAATGCGTACGGCTAATCTCAGGCAATACATCATGTGGAAAATGTTTCTTGGCGACGTGAATAACAAATGCATCAGCTTGATTAGCAACACGCGAAACTCGAATTCAATATACTTCTTCTCCCATGGACACTTGTCTAAAGCGAGCACATAAGTGTAAAAGGCCTGGAGATACTTGCCCGAAGCAACTAAGTGCCGGGCTTCGTCTATCGTATTAACAGCGATTTCCATTTTTATTATAATAAGCACACAATTTTTAACTCATATTATTTTTCCACACACTATTAATTATTTCACTATACCGAATTTAGGCACTATTGAACGACTCTGAGAGTTTGGTAAGACGGTCGCGAACGTCCGTCTGGTATGACGGTCGCGAACTGACTGCTAGGTGCTTACTGCTGAATGGTGGTTGACGGCGTTCAAGCGTCAGCCATTTGGCCATTGTTCTCTTTTTTGACTAATTGATAATTTTCCAAAATTCTTAGACAATCGTAATTGCTTTCTTGGAACGGCTATAGAAATAATATAAGAGTATTTTGTCTATTATCTACTAGGTACTTAATGACCCGCAGAAGGTCCAATGTCTATTGTATTGTACCTATTTAACAATAGTTAGAAACTGATAACGAAAACGGTAATACAATTACGAGAACTTCGTATGGCCAGCAAATCACCATGAAGGATTATGAAATCACCACATGTTTGGTTATTTATTTATATGTATTACTAATTTTGAAGAGTATTATTATATTAGTTTATTTTTTTATTTTAGGAGAGCGCAGGATCATTGCATATGGATCCCTTGAGGAGGCCTATGTCTTGCAGTGGACGTCCATCGGCTGATGATGATTACTAATTTCAATTTTCAATTGTTATTGAGCCATTGATAGGATTTTATATTGTAAAGACCACACACACGAATACACTGACAAAATCTAGTATGGTAGGAGATCCGAACCTAAATCGACCTTCACCGAGCTGATAATGGAACGAAACATATTTTATCATGAATTTAGAATATTAACAAATATATTAAAAATGGGTTGCCTAAAAATCCTGGTCATATGATTTTTGATTAGGTATTTAAAAAAAATGAAATTAAAAAAAAAGTTGTTCGTATTTATTTATTTTATTTACTCTTTATTGTTTTGTAACAAATGGCGGACTTAATGCCACATCGCATTCTCTACCAGTCAACCATCGGGTTAAGCAGAGAAATTATGCGGTCAAGTAAATTAAAGCATTATCTTATATTTATTAGTGAACGTTTACTATACACCAAATACAAACTTTGACAGATCTTTATTCGTATGGCCCACTTCAACGTTTCTATAGAAACTAAGCAGCGCCAAAATAACAAACTAGCTTTTTCCATACAAAAATTGACGATGACGATACGTAACGGAGCTGTCAAAAATTCGTGCTTATTCAAGTCACATTCGGAACTACCATTAATGAGTCCGAAGTGCCTGTATTTACTTTGTGGTTTTACTAAGTTTAGTGGACGAATACGAAAGTTATGGCTTCATAGCCTAGCCTTCTAATCGTCTACAAGTATCCGAAACCACTTCATCTTTTGGCAGATTTTTTTCGTTATAATAAAAGTTATAGTACATGGACATTGCCACACACATCCATTAAGTCCATGAAGTGCAAAGTAGTAAATATTTCATCAGAATCAGATCAGAATTTTCATTTGCACCCTATTTTACTAAAAAAGAACTGAGTCTTAAAGACTAAGTAGTCAACTCAAACAATAAGCGCATTCTATGTTTATAAACATCAAGTTTTGTTGTACAAAAGGGTTTTTAACAGTGATTGAATGTATCACACTACAAATCAAAGAGATGTTTGTTTATTTTTATCTGGTCCAGCTTCTACAAATAAAACAATTAGGTTACCCATCATGGTACTAGCCACTCTGCACCAAAAGAGTTGTTATTATTTTTCTGGCTTAAATGGCTTAATGGCAGGTACGAAATTAAACCCATCTGAATTCCGCTTAGTATCTAAGATAAGTAACACTGCTACAAAAACACATTTTTGTATTTTTGCATAGAAATTTGTCAAGCTATTGTTCTATCATACAAAAGCGTTATCTACGGAATGACCCAAAAGCTTTTACTACGATACGGTTATAAAAATTTAAGTCGCTATTGTTATTAGAAAACGACCGATGTCTTATGAATAATAAAAAATGTTTAAGAAAAGATGTAAAATCCCATGCTATTCATGTTTATTCCCAACCCCGGTAAACTACACTTCTGCTCATTGTCAAATTCAAACAATAGCTCTATGATTCTTCTGTTCATCACTAGGAATTAGGATGAATACTTCGAATACCTACTCCACTGTAAATACCAGTATTTTTGCTTTTAACTTCGTCTACACACTAAAAATATTAAAAAAGACCTAAAAGACGCATTTACATGCATTGCCAACTATCGGATAAATTATTCAGTAAAGTTTTCTTAAATTTTATAATACTCTGTGCAATTTTCTTAATTTTTTTAAAAACTTAAAAAAATATAGATGTAATCTCCGTTGGTCCGTGGATTGCAAGTGAAATATGGCGCAGGAAAAAACTTCACTTGATTATAGTAAACAAATGAATATAGATAAAAATGAAATACTTAAAAACTCAAAATACAAGGAACCGAATCAGATTCTTAAAACATATTCATGTTGGTGTTTGTACACTAAATACTACCCTAAGCACGATCTTTGACAGATACTTCGTATCGCTAACGTCAAAGCTTCTATGGAAAAATCAAGTTTGTTCTCACGTCCGATAAAGGCGCTGCTTAGTTTCCATAGAAACGTTGATGTTGGCGAAACGAATACGGATCGCTAACGTCAAAGCTTCTATGGAAAAATCAAGTTTTTTCTCACGTCCGGTAGAGGCGCTGCTTAGTTTCCATAGAAACGTTGATGTTGGCGAAACGAATACGAATCTGTCAAGTTTGTGCTTGCGGTATAGTAGTGTATATTATCAATATTCTTTTTCATTACAGACCTTGAAACTTGCCGAGACTTCAAAACAAGAAAATCATAATGAAGAAACAGTGGAAGATAAAGCAAACCTTACTGATGTTCTGCGGAGCATCGCATCAAACACTTACAGTGTTAGCAAAGTGCCTAGTAAGAACACGCTGGACGGTTATCCGTAAGAACAAAAAATATATATTGATAAAGTTCCTTTAGTTATGTTTTCAATTTTTAAAGCATTTAACTGCTAGATGTTTAAATCTAAATAAGAGTTTACTAGAAAAAAAATCCACGCGGACCAGGCAGCAGACGGGACTCGAACCCGCACCCTTCGCTATCCGGGCGAATGCACTGACCATTTTGCTACCGTAGCCCTGACGGCCGCGTCGAATTTTGTCTAGCCTTAGGCTGCAAGGCAGCGCCATCCCTACGCATTGTAGGTCACATGCTCAAAAATTAAATAAATATATAACTTTAAGATAACTTTTCAATTCGGTATCGCAAAGGAAACCAGGATATCTAAAAGGCATACAAAGGTATCCAGTTAACGTTTGTATAGTGAGCCATTGTCCATAGTATGGTACATGGCAACATATATATGTAGCTTTTTGGTCTTTATGTAAAAAAAAACTATATAAGTCGACTTTATGAGTTGAATAAAATTATTCCTGTGCTTTAGTTCTTGTACTGAGCAGATGCAGTATATGTTAAAAATAACCTGATATCAAAATGACAAATACATAGCGATTGCGATAGCCATGTGAAATGCTGGCATCAGTTGTCAATTGAAGGAGTCCAGGCGCTGAATATCGTTTTTATTTAAATCAAATCTTAAATAATAGAGCCACATAATTTGAATGATTTTAAAAATATTATATAAATAATAAATATTTCCAACACTCACACCAATTAGCCTAGCCCCAAAGTAAGCACAGTAAGGCTTGTGTTATGGGATGATAGGGTAACGGATAGAATACATATAGTGTACATATATAAGTATATTTATATATAGATACATATGAAACATCCATGACTGGAGTACAAATGCTCGTATTCATCGCACAAACATCTGCCCCCACCGGGATTCGAACCCGGGACCTCTCGATTTGGCGACACCATGAAACCACTCGGCCACGAAGGTCGTCAAATATATGGATATATACTTTTTTTGAAATCATTGCCCTCCCATACTCGGCCGGAAAGAAAAGAATCATAAAATGCGCCAGATATTAGTGTTATTATTATGCCCCCCGTGCAGATAGTAAAAGCTTAACAAGGAACAGGGCAGGTATGTAAGCATGCTATAATACAGCGACTCAATCGTGCTGGTAAACTATCACTATCGTTTCCATAGTTTGGTCAAAAATGGTAAAAGTGGCTTTGTCGGTGTATTTCTTTGAGAACTGTATTTTTGTATTAGGTACTTATTGTTCTATTTATTGATAGGATGGGGCGGGATGCGATTGCAAAATTGTTTTAAGATTTAAATTTGCACCGCTTCACAGTAATTATCCCGCTTTTTTATACGTCACTTAAATATCCGTTACTAAAATACGTATTTAAGACTGTAAGACTTATAAATGTCGGTTTCTGCTAATTGTAACAAAGCTGTTTTAAGAGAAAGAAAACCTATTCATAAATGGCCCAACTGTCTGGGATAAATAGAAATGAACTTATTTATTTTCATTTTTAGCCATCACCAAGAGATAGCTAACGATGAGAAGAAACACTTCACTCAGACTAAAACAATGCAAGATGTCGATTCAAATTTAGAAGATGAATCGCCTCGTAAAAATCTTAGTCTAAAGAGCGACACTCACAATAGCCTCCAAATACCCGGTCCCTTACCCGTAGATATAGTTAAAAAAGTGGCACCGATGAGACGTGAAGAAAAAACTTTGTCAACTAAAACTAAGCAATTGTTTGGAGGTCAGAGAAGGAAAAGTATTACTAGTGAACTAAGCCAAAAGAGAAAAAAGGATGATAATGCTCATAAAACTACTTGTATTAAAGAAAATCTAGATGACGATTCTAAAAGCGATACGCATAGTACAGAGATTCGTTCACCAGCGTTGATCGGTTTTGAAGAAGTGGGTGTTAAAAACAAACCTGTTATTGACGATAAATTGAAAATTTCCACGGAAATGGGAGTTCAAACGACCAATCGCTTGGATGATGTGAAGGAAGAGAGAAATATAAATAAAGAGATGTGTAATGTGGCCGTGGAAACGGATAATATACAAAGGAACAAAGGTCAAGAATTTGGTAAGTATTCACGTTGAAGTGTAACTTAAGTAGTCTTCCACACACGGAACACACATTTTAGTAAGTGTGATGCATACATGTACAGAATACATTAGTGTGATGCATTGATGTATAAAAACAAATAGACTCACTTCGCGCTCGAAGTGTCTGAAGCAAAATTACGCACATTCGTCTATTGTGCGTTAATTTTCGAAATAGTCTTGTTTCGATCACACTTTAATTATAACGCCCCCGTGTTTACTCACTGTTGGTTTAAAACTGGCTTGACACTTGATGGCCAATCGCCTAACGGGATTGCTATAGCTCGCTATCGCCATCGCTTACGATTTTATTATGTTAATTCTGACCGCGCCGAAGGTTTTCTAATGCCTCGCGCTCTTTTTTTGCCATTGCATTGGTATTGGTAATAACAGTATTAAAGAAAATGAGCGAGAGGTGTAGGAAAACCTCCCGCGGTCAGAAATAACAAAATGAAATCGTAAGCGATAGCGATAGCCATAGCAATCCTGTGAGGTGTTTGGCCCCCTGATCCACACTTTAATAACATCAAGTGTCACATTTCCCTTTAAATTAACAAAATTACGCAACGATCTTGGCGTTTTTATCTTATTACTAATTAATTACATTTTAATAGTTACAACAAAATAATTATCTCTCCCCGTGTGCGTCACGTGATCGTGTATATCTTTCTCGCACAGTAATCAAACAAAACTCTTTCGCTAGTATATAATTGACATTGAACTTTACTACCACGACATAAAGTGTCAATTTGAAAAAATGTGTAAATGTCAACTATAAGTTGATGAGGCATACTCGGCTCGGATGTTTTCTGGCGCACTTTTGTTAGGCAAGAAAGTCTACTTGATTATATATGTCAGCGGTGTGAAGTCACGATCGAATGTGAAGAGACTTATTGCTACTATTGTAAATGAAATGCACAATTTATAAAATATCAATTTCAAAGTGTACTTGTCAATTCCTTGGCTAAGTTTCATAAATTCCATTAATTATTGAGTTATTCTCACGTGTTCATCCTTTGTCTACTCCTATCCGATCCTAGAACTATGTGAGCATCACGCCCGGATATGTACTTGTCCTCCTACTAAGGCAACCCGTCGCGACGTATCAGTGTTCCGCACTTGCAGCGGCACCCTTCGATTCAAGACTATGGACGCATACGGCACCACTTTCAAGCAATGCGCCTGCCTTAGCGAAGAAAATAGCAAACTCGAAACTGGTTGTTTTTTAATTTAAGTAGAAGTCAATTAGTTTTTGTAGCATTTTCTTTGTAGTAATTTATGTTATTTACGGGATTTTTACCATGTGCCTTGTTTTTAGCGAGTTTCTGATATTTCGACACTGTTGAAAGCGCCATGATCACTGAATAACTGTATCCCTATAAACAAGGTACGTAGTAACAAACCCGTAAATAACATAAATTGCTATAATGTTAGTAACCATGGAAGTATTAAACAATATTATTTGTGCTTAACAATTCCATTGATATTGATCGTTTTTTGTACAACTATGAACTTTGAGATTTAATCTGATATCCATTCCATATAACGAAATGAGTATAGGTAAGGTGGATAGGTACTATAGACGCTTTTAATACTATGGGAACTAGACTCGCTAGAGTAAAGATTTAAGAGTCAAAGCGGATTTTCGGCTATAGTTACGCGTTTTAGACAGAAACTTTTAACTTACAGAAGATCAAAGTAAACTAAGCCTAGCATTTGGTAGTGTTGTGTTTTCTCTGATAAGTAAAGTTCCTAGGCTTTAAAAGGTTAGAAGTATGGGGATCAGGTCAGCAAGATGAGGATAATTGGAGCTGAACGCTTTATTGTCACGTTTAGACTGCATTTGAATGTAACACCACGTGGGGTATTATAAGTTGCGCCTTGTTTAAAAAAACAATACAAAAGAACGTATTGTTACGTTGCAGTTGCCTCTCATTATTGTAACCATCATTAGCTGCCTATTAGTGCCCCTGCTGCAGAGACACAGGCCTTGCCTATGGATAGAAAAGGAAGGTTGGGCCATAACCCACAACGCGGGCAAGTGTGGATGTGTGGGTGCTAACAACTACAGATGCAGCCAAGACCAAAGCCTTAACGTGTCTGCCTAAGCACAAAGGAACTCGCGATAATAAGTTTTTAGGTCGCCCATCTAATGACCGATCATTGCGAAAGTTTCTTAACTTACACGATCGTAGGCCGAGCGCGTAAATCACCCGCGCCATCGAGCTCCTCTTGTTTAATTATTGTAATATGACCTCTAATTAATATATTTATGAAATGATTCGTAGTAAACAGACTATATTTTTGTAGGTTTAGGTACTCAAACAGACGCCATGGTGGGTCGTGAGGATCGTTCAGTTGGCCCAAGCAATGGTCCTTCTGCTTTCGCCCCGGCTAATGCTTCTGCCTGTCTGCCATTGCAAAAATCGCGCGGTACATCGCCCGACAATACTGATGCTGAAATATCGTCCCTTACTGATCTTCCCTCGGAGAAAGAAGGTGGATTTTGCATTATCTATGCTATTATTATAGAGGTAAAATTTGTGAGGTTTTAGGGGATATTCTCTAGATCTACTCAACCGATTTTGAAAATTCTTTAAGAAATGCTAGAAATAGAAAGCCACGTTGTTTGTGAGTGTCATAGGCTATATATTAGAAAATCTATAGTCTTCACCGAAGCGAAGCGAATCCCCCTATACTTCGACTTTTTATTAGCTGCAGTAAAATGACGTTTCAAAATGTCATTCCGTTAAATAATGTTGACAGCTTAATTTCAATAGGGATGTGCTTAGGTTCACAGAAAATCTAATCGTTCCATAAGTAACTCATAATGGTCATACTTAATTCTATTTATTATTCATATAAATAAAAGGCTGTACCAAAAGGCCAACTTCTCGAAAGAGACATTGAAAAAAATTATGAAGCATCTTAATTTCAAATTCGCTACTCGATCACACAAGAGCGTACTTATTGATAGACAAGATATCATATCATGGCGCCAGCGCTACTTAGTTTAATTAAACAATATCGTCGGGAGGGAAGATACATATATTACCTATCAAGACGAGACCTGGATCAACGCTGGTAAGTGTCAACTCTTAGTTTTCTATGTTTGATCCCCTTTTGTTTAGCTGTCGAAACATATGATTATTTTTTGTTCTATCAGGTCATACTACAAAAAAAACCTGGAGTGGTAGAAGTATAAAATCTTCTCTACAGGCATTTTTAGAAGGTCTAACTACGGGATTAAAAAATCCCACAGGAAAGGGCAAACGACTCATAATCAGTCACATAGGCGGAAAAGAAGGCTTTCTGGATGACGGACTTCTTATGTTTGAAGTAAACAAAGGTACAGAAGATTACCATGATGAAATGAACGCAGAGTGTTTCGAGGAGTGGTTCGACGGCATTCTACCCAAACTCAAGCCGAATGCAGTAGTCGTAATGGACAACGCGCCCTATCATTCTAGGAAGATCGAAACAATCCCAAATATGTCGTGGACGAAAGCACGGATTCAAGAGTGGCTGACCATTAAAAATATTACATTTGAACCAAATATGGTGAAGGCCACTCTCATAGATATTGTGAAACAACAAAATCATACTGAGAAATATGCCGTGGACGAGATTGCTGAAAAAGGTATCAGACTTTTAAGATTGCCCCCTTATCACTGTGAATTGAACCCCATCGAGTTGGTTTGGGCTCAGGTAAAGGGGCACGTCGCAAACAATAATAAAACATATAAAATGCAAGAAGTGAAAACTTTATTCCAAACAAAGTGACACCGACTAAGTGGAGTGACTTTGTGTCTCACACTACAAAAGAGGAAGACAAAATGTGCCACCTCGATCATATTATAGAAGAAGTGACACACAGATTTGTCATTAGTGTGACCGGAAGCGATACTGATTGCGAAAATGATTGATTAATAAATAACATTGTTATGACAATTTTGTTTAATTTTGGATGTACTTCCACTGAAAAAGTTCAATCCTTTACTAAAGTAATAATAATAGAATAAAAAAACATTACAACTTAATATTAAATCTCTAAAATAAAAACAAACTGATCACTCATTTATTGAATGATTCACTTACTCACTTAGCTACATCCCTATTTATTTTTCTTCAAAAAGCGGTAACCCACAAAACGTCATTTTACTGCAGCTAATAAAAAGTTCTACTTTAGTTGATTATGTATAAAATATCTAACTGTAGCTCTTTGATTATAAATACCCTAGATTGTATCTAGGGTTTTTCAAAGTTAATACGTTAAATAAAAAAATATCTACTACATATGATAGATATGCTCGTCTGTACACATGCACACATTGACTCCTTTAATAAAATCCTAAATAAGAGCCACGCACACATTGCGCGCAACATGAGCTGTTTTCTTTGTGTAGTTTATTGGGATTGCTCTATCTAGGCGCATAAATAACCAAAGCTCGAGCTAGTGTTACCAATTCCCAAAAAGTACTAGGATCTTCAAAACCAAAGTAAAAATCTCTTAAAACCCCTAGTCTTATTGTTATCTAACAAAACTTGGGCTCTGTGTTAGATTGATTTCACATTATGCGAAAGTAAAGTACAGTCAGCCATATTAAAGAAACGACAAAATGCTAAATTTTCTCATTGGATTATGGATCGTAAGTTCTGCTAGATAAGTTTCAAAGTCTGTTGGAGAAATTTGCTAGTTTTAGTTGTGGCTGTCTTACCCAGGCGATATTAACAATGCAGAATCTCTTCGGAGAAGCTTTTGAATTCCGTTATATGTTTTTCGAGATAAAAAAACAAACCCCTTTTCGAGTAGGTAACCTTTTTTCGGATAATTTTCAAGTGAAACTTCTATATCACATCGCCACGAAATTTCTCGCTTATCTTTAGCATGTTGAATTAAATTTTTAATTGTTATTAAAAATAGAAAACAAAACAGACCTTATCATCTAGCACCGGTGATTCAGTACAACGTGGGCAGCCCGGGTTCAAATCACAACTAGGAAAGAACTCTTTTTTTATTAATGATTTTGAAAGTTTTCACTTGTTTCATAAAATCACACCAATTCTTCTAACATGACCGAGTTTTTGAGTAATACCCACACTTAGTCATTATATTAATACATATCATCATCATCAGTCTATTAACGTTCTCACTGCTGGGGCACAGGCCTTCCCTATGGATGGAAAGGAGATTGGGCCATGACCCACCACGCGTGATCCAGCCGCGACCATCAGCTTTACGTGCCTTCCGAAGCACGGAGGAACTCGAGATAGCAGATTTTTGGTCACCCATCCTATGACCGATCAACTGCGAAAGTTTCTTAACTTCAACGAGCGTAGCCGAACGCCACCGAACTCCTCAATACATATATGATAAAAAACGAGTGAGCCTTACAGTAGTCGCGTATGATGTGTAACATTTAAAACCTCACTTTGTATTAGTAAAAAAAGAAATAAAATCTACTACTAAAGGAAAAAGCCATTTGTACATTATGTTCTAAAACCAAATAGCGCGCGCTTCCCAAACTTGCTGTTACACACTTCCGTCCCACTTCACGTAATCACTCCCACAAAGTGCACGAGAGGAAAAATGTTACACACCAATAGTAATAATGCGCTTGAAACTTCATCAGAAACAGTTTATCTCCTTACTTTAAGGTAAATCGCCGCGAACGCCACTTTCCCCGGGTGAAGACAAAGCAACGACCACGTACACGGACTCGTGTACAGAACCCGCCAACGACTATACATCGCTCAGTGAGGGAGAATTGCCCTGTCCGATTCAAAGTAAGATAAATATTAATACACTGTACTACCCACATAAGTTTTATCAAATCCAGTTGAACATCATAATAGGAATGGTGACATTTTTTTATAAGTCTATCAGTTTGATTATTTAAAAGTATCGGACACTTATATTTTCTTTATTCACAAAACTTAACACTGTTATGTTAATTTGAAATATCGCATGACGTCACGTCTTAGTACAATTTTTACTTTGATTTAAGTGACGTCACGAGCCTCCGCTTCCAAACTTTTTTGTTAATCGCTTTATGTTTTTATTTTTTCTATGGGAGCTGACGGATTTAATAGAAGTTCGTTTATTTTACCTCGTCATCATCCATATTGTCATTAAACAGAATCTTTGTCAACTCTTTGGAGTCGAGCAAAGATAGAACTTAGTTTAATAATGAGTTTATTCATAATTAATTCAAAAAACGTTATTTGCAAGAAACATTGAGTTTTGATTTTAACTTTAAACTCAGAGCTTGATAAAAATACTAAATAAAAACTTTATTGTTTATAGATAAGAAAATATCAGTTGGGGAAACCAAAGTTAACTTCGCTAAAATTGATCCGTAAGTATAATAATACTATAATATTACAAATGTGAAAGTTTGTATGTTTGTTACTCAATAAAATAAGCCACGCAACTACTACTGATAAATTTTAAGACAAACTCCACGGCCCAGTGGTTTGTACGCCGGGTTACATCTAGGGTTGCCACCCGTACTTTATTATAAAGTATTGTACGTTATTTTGGGTAATTGTACACTATTATTTATGCCAACATTTCGTGGCTGTATGTATGGCTTTGTACTATGACATTTCCCGTTGCGGAAAAGAACTACAGATTTTAGTGCTAGAAGCAATGTACAATATATAGCTTACTAATAAAGTGGAATAAAAAGTACTTTATTTTGGACACAAATTGCTTTTTTTACTTTTAATATCCAATGTACTTTATTTGGACAAATAAAAGGTGGCAACCCTAGTTACATGGTGTCGCCTACTGGAGAGGCCCCGGGTTCGGATTCCGGTGGGGGCAGATGTTTGTGTGATGAATACGAGCATTTGTACTCTAATCATGGATGTTTAATATGTATTTCTATATAAACATATCTGTATATGTATATTCTATCCGTTACCCTAGTATCCCATAGCCATGGAGCACCCCCACTAGAGTCCGCATCACACAAATTTTGTTTGGAATCAAAATCGCTAAAGTCGGTGGGGTGCAGGGAGGTCAGCCCCGCTGTGATTGGACGCGTCAAGGTCAGATCATATACTCAGTGCAGCGAAGTGATGAGGGTAAGATCGATTTTAGAAAATATCGATATTTTCTATCGATAAACAATTTAGAATAGAGGCCTAGCACTTTGGTGCGCAAATGCGTAATCATACCCTCCCCAACATTTTTCCAGCGTTCTAATTACATGAAGCTACTAGTAACTACATACTAAATTAAGTATATATAAGCAACACAAAAAAAAACACGTCCAGGATAAGAAGTATTAATGCAACGATATTAACTACCCTAGATACAACAACACGAACAATATCGTGGCCGAAACGTGTCCAAAAAGTTCATTGGACGATCCACGGAGGTCCGTAAGATGATCGCGTGGTCAAAAACAATATAATTAATAAACATTGAAAGTTACCTTTAATGCATACGGCATAAGGTCTTAATTAAAATAAATGCGTCAAGTTCGTAAAATTTTACGATTTATTGTTATATGTGAAAGAATATAGACCTTATTTTTTTTGACTTTTCACTCGCAATTCTGAATGCGCTGTTAGCAATATAGCAAGTACAGACCGCGAAGAAAAGAGATTGCTAAGGGCGACGTGTAACCGACCATGCATTTGAATATCACAAATATTTTAAATTAAATCAGTTTATAGTAAGTATTACAACAATAAAATTTGCTTTAAAAGCGTTAATTAAAAAACATTAATTAGATACCCGTCGAAAAAACGACACTTTACGTACCATTAGTATTTTTCTGCATTTTTTCACGGAACTCTTTGGCATCTTGACTTTTCAACGGTCCGCGTGTGACTGTGTACTAAGAAGTGCTTGAGTGGAGTTCAAGCACTTCTTGATTGGGACACATTTTGAGCGCTCGTGGTGTATCTAGGGTATTTAATATCGTGAATTCTATGTCTTTATCTAGGTCATAAACTATGCTCGCTTAATTTCATACAAATCCGTTTAACCGTTTTAGCGTGAAAGAGTAACAAATATGCATACAAATTTTCGCGTTTTTTCAATTTTATTAGGATATGTTTGAAGTCAAATAAAAACTGTTGGTTGTATACTTATGACATCTATTATTGTATACGATGAAATAAATAGTTTTTATTTATTTTTTCCATTTCCATAGCTGACAAATTTATCGATAAACTTACGCGTTGAGACATGAGCTGCGTCTGAGTCACTAGCAATACACGTGCCGGTGTGAGAGCGAGATAGCATATATGATGTAGCCCATGCGAGAAAGGGATAGTGTAAAAAGACATCAACGCGTTCACCAAAAAATAAATACAATTAACAGCAATTTAATATAACAGTATTTTTGTCTTTTTGTAATGCATTTAAACTAACCAGTGAAAAGTAATACCATTTTTTTGAAGACTGGAAGTTGTACTCGACTTTCCACACAATTTAATTGCACAGTACGGCATTTTTTACAGTTTTTTAACACGAAAACGAGAAAAGCAGTTCGACCAACGCTGAGTTACCGAATGAAACGATGTATTGCGACGTCTGTAGGCGTGCCTCACGCATAGGTAAAATACTACTTAAGCTTGGCGTAAGCGCTTGCCCTTGTATGCGGACTCTAGTGGGGGTGCTCCGTGCCCATAACACAAGCCTACAGTTCTAACTTTGGGGCTAGGCTAATTGGTGTTAGGGTTGGATATATTTATTTATGATATTTGATACGCATATAGTGTATCACCTGGCTTGAGATATAGGACATTTTGACCGAAAAAAAATTCTGTGCGATTCTTAAAAAAAAAAAAAGTGTACGTAGTTGCGATAAGGAGTTGGTAGAGACACACTTAATTTTAATCCATACCAAAGACATTGATGAGAACATATAATTATCGAGCATTAGTTGTTTTTACACTGATATATGCTTTTTCTTGCCTTACAGTAATTATTGACGATTATAATAATCAATATTCAGTTGTACAAAAATATCTAGGCAAGTAAGCTCTACAGAGTCATTTGATTTTTTAAGTTTCACTAAGATTTATGCTGTAACTTTATTGACAATAATATAATCAAGAAAACATGCGACATAACTAAAGGATTAAATTAATGAGACGTTTCTGAGTGTTGTTGTGAAAGGCTTATCTATTACAGACAATAGCCCTTTTACTTAGACGGAATGGGTTATTTAAACGCTATATTATGGTTGTCAAACCAATATATTATGCAAAAAATATATGTGCAAAAAATAAAAATAACATCAGTTATGTACTTAATAAAAATCTGGCCGATACACATGGCATATTTATTTAAGCAACCCCTGTTCAATGCTAAAGATTCGCATAGCAGTCTTTGTATTTAAAAATCGGTTAGTACCTATACTAGAGTATACTAGTCATAATGATGGAAATGTCGAAAATTCCAAAAAGTGCATATAGCAGATATTGGTTTGACAACGATGATATTATATTCCCATTCCAAAGATTTCATAATAGGGATGATGGGTAACTTTTTTTCTTCGCTTATTTAAGTAATAAAAAGTACCTTTTAAGTTGTCAAAATTAGTGAAAATCGCTCAGCTGTGTACGTTCTTTTGTCGCTTTATTATCCTAGCCCGTAATAAACTCGACTGTCGGCATCATGCAAACCAAACTTTCTAAGAAATTTGTTCTTTTGTTTACAAATTGGGATTGCTAAAAAATATAATACAACAAAATTACTGGTGCAGCAAAAGACGTCAGACAAAAATAATAGAATATACGCAATAGCGTTCAAATAATTTTTCCTTTTTTTATGTACATAACTAGTAGCATGAAATGAACTTCTTCTTTTCATAATTCTGAATTTTCTTCTTTCATTTAACGACAACTCTCTATAACGCCATAAAACGTACAGTCCCTTTAGTGACGTTATATAGAGTTTACACTAATCTATTTATCTATCGTTTGTCGCAGTGTATCGCAACGTATGGAGGAAGCTCTGAACGCCGTTGGCATGGAGTTGTCTCGATGTCGCGAGATGTTGCGATCCCAACGCTCACAACAGGTAGTGCCGCAAACACAACACACGCGAAAACTTTTACATTAGATATAATTAATTCTGCACTCCAGAACTCGTCTACCCCAACGGTTATCGGTTCTTCGGGAAATATGGCCAGCCCACTGCCACTTCAACTTGCTAATACGGTGTGTTATGTCGATTACTCTGGAGGCCTATGTCCAGCAGTGGACTAAGATAGGCTGTGGATGATGTTGATGATGATGATAATTAATTCAGTAGTGCATATAGTATACGGGGGCAAATATATTAGGCCGGGTTGTTTCATCTAAAGTTCAATGACACTTGAAAAAATGTAGTTGATTTGTCAAATTTTGATAAATGTTTTTTTTCTCTAGTATTTGAACTATAGTCAAATTTAACTATAGATGAAACAACGCGACCTCATTTGTAGACAATATATGTATACGTATTGTGTCTTAAGAGGGACCTTCGGAGTAGATAATGTATAATCTGTTATTTAATCTTAGAGACAAAAATAAAATTAACTGTGTTGCCGGTTTATTGCAATTCTTTTCAATCGTTTTTGTATGGTAGCAAATGCCAAATGAACAGAGTAATGAGAGACCTACAGGTAAAGATATAAATTAACTTATATTAATATATTTTCTGAAACGTCATCGTCAGACCCAGTATCTATTACTGTAATAAAAGTTCGGTAATGTCGACTATGATGTCGATTCTTGCATGAATCTCTAAACCTTAACTTAAATTTGACAACATTTATAACATTATTCGCAAACTCGACATTTGCATGTGTCATTTTTGTCTCCGAGATTAAAAAACAAACTATAGTTGGATGAACTTTGGCAATTGAGTGTGATAAAGACATTAATATGTACTAATTAGGTATATCGCGGTGCTGAGCATAATCAAATGCCCGTCAGATGAATTAAGTTAAGTTTACACGCAGTTGTTTGAAAATATTCGTTTTTATTTATTGTTATGTGTCAAGTAAGTATGAAATTTTTAATTTTCATATTTTCGAAAGGTTTGAATCTTTCATTGCTGATTATGTTGATTTTACTGTCGGTTGTAATGTTAATTAATGTTTCCGTATATGCGTAGTGCGTGAACCGTATCATATAAAAAAAAATTGCTCCAATTCAGTTTTAGGCTTAAGATTTATAGCTTGTAGCTCAAAACTGAACGATAAAATGTGATTTTAAGATACCCAACAGATTTAACTTAACCAATACACACTCGTTTTTAAGGAATTGTAAATTTGGATGTGATGACTTAATTTATACCAACTATTTCTATTAAAAGTAAATAATAATTACAATCGAATTTATTAGTAATACAAACAACTTGATCAATTTATACCAAATTGGAAAAACCTAATGACCTATTTTTAAAGAATTTATGTTAACAAAAAAAATATTAATATTATGTATACAAATTTGAAATCTAGTTTCAATTAACTTATTATACAATTCTGACGTACAAAATCATGGATATATCATTCTTGTTAGACCAGCTTCATTAACAACAATTATGCGCATAAAATTCTTCAAAGTAATAGTTTTTTTTAAGATCAGAATTTTCAATATTTCAAGTAGGTATATTATATTGCTAGGTTATTACCAATTCCATCGCATTTATTAATGTTTGAGCTTTAATATATATTCATTACCTTAACCACATTTATGTATCATAAAACGTTTATAACGTCATTGTTTTAAGAAGTTCAAAATTATGTTACTTTTGATAATGCAGAAGCATTATATTAATTGATTTCTTGTTATAATTACTCCTGCAAATTAATTAGTAAACGTTCGTCAAATAACAATTGAATGACTCAAAACGAGATCGTTAGACGGTCGCAAGTTAATCAAGCTAATGTTTTGATGAGGTTTATTTAATTTAAGAAATAATTATAAGTAATGAAGATTGTAGCTGTATAGTAGTTGGTAATAAATTTGTTTCTGATATAAAAAAAAGTATGTTTATTTATCACCTATTATTTATTTTACTATCCTGTTATCTAGAAGTCTAGAAGTAGTTAGTGTAGTAGTAGTATTTTCTTTTTTCCCTGATGTCCTATTTCAATAATCAATCTCGCAGTAAGAGATAGGCCTATTAGAGGCAATTAAACCTAGATATTTACTCGACTCTGCACACAAGCAGCGAGACGCGCATATAAAGTAATTTAATTGTTATAATAGTACCCCTAGCATGAACCAATATCATATTCGAATCGTTTGCGGGTCCGAAATGTCAATGTCAAATTTTGTATGGAAACTTGAACAGCAGCGCCACAAAGTACGTAACTAGAACTAAAAATCAGTACATATTTGACAATGACATTTCGTACTCGCATTCGATACGAATTCGATATTGGTTCGTGCTAAGGGTACAGTTGTTGCCAAGAAAGGAAACCAAATCTTATATAACTCTTACTGGAGGTTGAATGATATTGAAACTGATCGTAAATCATCAATCAGCAAACTGATTCAAATATCGTTTGCACATTTTTTTACCTGCCTTCGTTATACTTATTTTATAGAAAGTATCGTATTAAAAGATGTAGGGTGGGCGGGGCGTACGAGTAATTAATTGGTCTTGAGTGCTCAAATATTATGTTATACTAAGTATGACTTGAATGTTTGATTAACAACAGGAAAACACAGAACGCACTAAATTAATAGGAACACTATATTTTTAATCACGTTACTATACCTAATCCACCATATTAATAAACGAAGATTAAGCTTAGATTAGTTACTCTATGTTTTGTCTCTGTTCATTGAATTACAAATGGCACTTGAGCGATATGAACAAAACACGGCGTAAATAATCTATTTTTATTTTTTGTTTATTAATAAAGGGGTAAAACATGTAGTCATCAAGTACCATTTTTAAAATTGAGTTATTAACATAGCATTTTTAAGATATGGTATAATATTACTAAGGGGTGAATATGGAATTCACTAATACTACATATTATTTTACTTAGCAACAGATGTTTAAAACAAGTCAATCTCCACTACCCTACAATAATCTGTGTAGATAAAACACAATTGTAACTGTCAAAGTGTATTGTATCACGTGTAGTAGCAGAAAACAATGTTACTTATTAGTATTTGTGGTCTTTTCAGAGCATTGACTCTGAATTACGTTTTTGTTTATTTTGCGCAGCTGTTGTAAAATGAGGTTTATTAGAACATGAATATGATTATATATCATAATAGTATTACATGAGTGTTTTAATACCTAATTATGAACAGTTGCATACAAGACTTTATCTACACCCATATTATGAATCCTCTATAAAAAAAACTGAAACCCATCATTTGAGAACGCCCCATCGTTCTAAGAACTTACAATTCATCGTAAGTTTAGGCGCTGTGGTAGTGAAACGCGCGTGAACATTTACAACAACAATGTTCTTTTTTTGAAATTCGTTATACCCTTAGATTAAAACAAAAAGGGTAGATACGGTACGCTCATACTTGCATCAAACAAAAACTGATCCCACGGCAGCGCGAACGGGACGGCGAGATCCGCGTCACTGCATTACCGACCCGAACGAAAAAGCACGTTAAGTTTCAACGGCAGCGCAAACGAGATCTGCGTCACTGCATTACCGACCAATCAGGCGACCAGTACTCGACGTCACTACCGAATAAGATTCAAAACAAACAACAATTTTTATGAAAACATATATTTTATAGTACTTACGAATGAAAAGTGATGCCGTGGGTTTTATTTTTTGTTCATGAGCAATTTGAGCACTTTTTAAAAACACACTTAGGGATTGTTTTATGAGGCTAGGATCACTTTTGTGAGGCTAGTGCCGTATCTACCCTTTTTGTTTTAATCTAAGGTTATACCACACATCTAGCAGTGGAAGTTCTGGATGTATGATGAGCAAGTTATTAGCGCGGAAGGGATTTATAAAGCGAAGCGAAATATTATTATGAAATTTATTTATTCTATTTTACAACATTCTAATATTGTAATGTTTGTTTTATTGTGACATTGAATATTTTAATAAGCTGTTTCAGCCCCCGTAGTATGAGCACTACAATTTACATTATATCACGTTTTTTATCGCGTCTAACTGTCAGACTCCATAGTAATTTGACAATTTAACGGGATAATAACGCGTTATATATCATATCGCGGTGCTCATGCTAGGAGGGCAGAATCTTTAATTAAAGCATGGGCGTAGATAAAAATAATTAACTTATTGATGGTAGCTGCAATAAGGAAACTCCGACAAAACTGTACCCAACCATCAATACCCGATGCTTTATTCACGCTGTCTTTAAACGCATGCAGAGCCAAAAATCAGTCGCCTGTCAGATAGAGATCCATGCTCACCTAAGTAAGAGCCTTAAGGCTTAAGGTCTGTTCACTTGTTTACGTTTGCTGTTTCACCGTACACCGGGCTGCTGCGATATACTTGTCCTTCTTATCTATGCGATTTCAGACAAAGACAAGCTTAAATATTATATCGCTAAGGTCCAATGTCCGGTGAAACAACCGTGGTTAACAAGAGCCCTAAGGAGTGATTAAAAATATTTTTATTTTGATGAAACTACACTTAAACTCTAAGTCTTATTAGACTTAAGATTTAGGTATTATGGGTAAAAGCGGAAATAAGGATCATTTAAATCATGTCGGAGTGGTCGTAATGACGATGAGGCTTCTGGGGAGCGGCAGATATGTCACCTTGCTCGATTCGTAAACTGCCTGGTGCATCTTTAACCATTTTTTAAACAAGGATAAAATCAGTGGGATTGTTTTACAGCTCTGGGTTTAGCGCTTTCGGCTGCGATCGTTGAAGTTAAGCAACTTTTGCAGTGGTCGATCATGACTGGGTGATCAAAAATTTACCATCTCGAGCTCTTCCGTGCTTCACAAGGCACGTTTATCGGTTGGTCCCGCCTGCGTCTGCAGTCATTACCACCCACTAATCCGCACTGGGCCTACAATATGCATCATGGCCCAATCTCCCTATTCCAACCATAGGGCAGGCCTGTGCCCCAGTAGTGAGGACAATAATAATAACAATTAATGTCCCTGGTTAATCATGGTTGTTACAATTTCGTAGAAAATGTCTCTTATAAAATAACAAATACCAAACTTTACATTACCCCTATTGTTTTAAGTGGGAATTGGAAAGCCTCCACCCCGGGCATCCCAATCGTAATCGATATCGGCAGCAGCGCGAGGACTAGGCATTTGACAGTATGAATTGTTATTCGTACTGGGCCCGCGTGGTAGATCACGACCCAATCTCCCTATTCCACCCATAAGGAAGGCCTGTGCCCCAGCAGTGTGGACATGGACAGGCTGGTGATGGTGATGATGTGTTACAGCGGCGAGAAAACTCTCGAGACGCCTCCATGATGACGGATTTGAATCTGGGCGCGCCGTTGCGACGCAAGCCCGCCACGCCGTGCATTGGCGACGCGTTCGCGCCCAACTGCGTGTTCACATTGCATATTGGCACTGTCGTACTATCCGACGAGGTATTAACGTCTTAACTTCATACATTGTTTTAAGCATTTAACTGTTAGATGTTAAAATCTAAAGTAAAAAAAAAATACTGCTGCCTGGCCGCTGGTAAAGTTTTCTAGTAAAATTTTCTATAAATTCACACAAATATTATAATGCGAGGATAATGTTGTTACGCTGTCACCAAACCGCTGACCTGATTGAAACGTGGTTAAGGAAATAAGGCTGCTCTTTGTCATGAAAAAATAGCATAGCGAGGATAAATCAAAATTCTTCGTTGCGTTTAGTTTTAAGCCCATAATCTCAGAAACAACTGCTCTGATTATCATTCGGTCTACATCAAAAAAGGATAAGCATCTACCATAATAGGGGTGATGACGGGGTACAGAAAACGAAATTCTATTTAGTCCGTCAGTTAGATGATCAAAAAATAATGGACACGTATTTTTTCTTTGGGCAACCAACCAAAAAATGACAAAGTTATAGCGCGTCAAAGTTTGGGAGTAGGGGCTCGTGACGTCACTTGAATGAATTTTCACTTATAAGTGTACTCAAACGTGGCGTCATGCGACTTTTCAAATCAATATATCTCTGCAATGTTTATATTGTGTGAAAAAAGAAAAAATACGTGTCCAATACTTTTTAATAATCTACCTGATAAACGAAGAAAAAAAAATTAGTCATCATCCCTATTGTAAACGCATTGTTTAACGACTTCTCTTCTTAAAACCATAAAGATTATCCAGTCGATATGACGTTTATTTACGTCTTTAAATATACTTTCGGACGCATCTATCGGCCCACTTAGTGTAATTATAAGTTTCAACGGTCTGTACCAAAAATAGATATGTTTATGGTTGAGCAATAATTTAAAAACACACACGAAAATATGGTTAATAAATTATCTTCAAATCTGCGTAGGTAATAAATTTTTGCTCAATGTTACATTTATTTTTAGCTAGAAACCGTAAATTGCTAAGTGGGCCGATAGATGTGTCTGGAAGTGTAATTGAAACTCAGATAAAATAAAAAAGTTCTGCGCATTGAAATAAAATGCATATTGACTTCGCAATAAGGCTGCAGCCACACGCTGCCACGTGGTATTAAATTCCATGAAAATACATATCTGAAAGTCGTACGACGTAAAAGGAACCATTGGACATCTTTTGTATCAGATTTGGAGAGCACACGTGCAAGTCTAAAGCAATTGCAATAAGTTGACTCTGAAACAATAACAACTAGCCCGATTACAAGACAAAGGACATCATCTGACAGACCCGTCCGTAATCGTATTGTCATAGTCAAATTTTGTATGGAATAAGCCTTTTGTTCTTCGTACGTCCGGTAGGGGCGCTGCTTGGTTTTCACAGAAACTTTGTCGTTGCGAATCGTTGCGAATTCGCGATACAATTACGGAGCTGTAAAAGTTCATGCTTGGGCCACAGCGCACATGTTCTATTAAACAAAAGAAGCTTAGGTTAAAAATGTTTAGAATAAAATATTGCTTTCTTGTTCTCAGGCTCATTGTTTTAAATTTGTAGTTTGTATTTACACTTTCTTTTGTCGTTTCTGTTGTTAATGCCATTGTAAGATTTATCTTTTGTGTATTTGCGTGTTCGGTTTTAATAAGTTACTATACCTTACATTTGCTTGGCGGTATATTTTTCTTTACTTATAATTTATTATAAAAGCCTTCTTTATGTATTTATATTCTGTATCATTTTCGTAAACGCAATACTTAGTAATAATCTAGTAAACACATTCAGGACAGAAAATATTTCATTGTAATCTATTTTTGTGATATCTTTGGAGAAGACACTGATTTATGTAACGCATGGTTATGAAAATCAGGGTGACTGTTGTTGAGCAGTAAATTTGTTATTATTAATTAGATAATTAAAGCATTTACTTAACGTCGATAAATTAACCCTTATTATCTCTGTAGGCGGTGATAAACTCTCGCGACCTATCTCTGGTGCTGACTTGGCGATTCTTCGACCACGACGCGTCGATGGTGCGAATGAAGGCCGGACGAGTCATACTCTTTGACGTCTCCACCGAATACGACGTCAAGGTCAACAAGGAGTTCCTCGACTATTTGAAATACGTGAGCATCAACATCTTTTTTGCATTCTTGAAATACCAGATTTCATGTTGAGTTTGCTACACTAGACGTGTAGGGACCACTGCTGGAGCACAGGCCTTCCATATGGATGGAATAGGAAAATCAACTTTGACCTACAATGAGAGCTTAGCGTGGGTTGGTGGGGGACTAACGACTGCATATACAGCGCAGCCCAACAGCGTATGTGCATTGTATTTGATATAGGTATAAAAGCAAAATACGGACTTGAGGAACAAAAAATTTCGATTCTGATGTTTTGCCGATCAATCGACTTACAATCTCGCTAACACCTTTCTTTCTGATGCTTTTTATTTTGTATGGCATCAAGTAAAAATTATGATATAAGAAATAACTTATGCGATTATAATATAATTAGTAGTTTATGCTTCAAAATTCGGATAAATATTTCAATAAAACAAACATCAGTATGTATTTTGAAATCTGATGAGATGAAATTTCGACCTTAATGCAATTCGAATGTTACAAACGATATTTCCAGGCCTAATATGTCCCAAATTAGAACACTAGACTGTACAAAAACAATTTAACGTTAGCTTAATTTGATTAACCATAAATCTCTTAACTAAACAATATTTTTACATAAAAAGCAGTAGTAATTACTAGATGGCATTATACGCAAACTTAATCGCGCTATGGTTTCACTCTCATAGATGAACATATACTTTCATGAGTATAGCGCCATCTAGTAATAACACATGGAACGATTGTTTCAATTACTAAAATGTAATTATACGGGAAACCATCCAATCATTGGCACTTTTGAGTTTAGTTCGAAAAACAAGGAAACAATAGATTACTTTATTCAAGCTCGGTACATATTAAACGGAAAACTAGGTATGGTTTAAAGGAAATTTGCTCAAATTGGCCTAAATGCACAAAAAATATTGACATACACGGTAATTCTTGGCGTAATTTATAATGTAATTTACAGTCATTAGATTTCAACGGATATACCTTTGTATAATATATTTACTTTAAAAAGGACTTTTAACATACGAATCATTTTTAATGGCTATGGGTGTAGTAACATTGAGCCAAAGACTAATCGAAATTGTTTATACATAACATAAAAACAAATCTATTTTGTAAAGATCGATAAAATAAATCATTTTTTTTATTACACTGTGGTATTAATATCCACAACTATATTATCATTTTCACTAGATGCAAATGACAGACAATTATTATAGATGGTAGGCGACATCATAAAGTCTATTGCCATACATTTTTCGCCAAACACCTCCATAAACACATTATAATCTGTATATATGTTAAACTTTAAGGTATCTATCTATGGGCCTACGTTCCCTGACTATAAATTAATAAATAAATAAAATTATAAGGTGTGATACACTTATAATCTAAAATATGGTTATCTTAAAAACATAACAAAAATAATGAAGCTACTGAATATATGGCTATAGAACCTAAATCTCTTAGCTTTCTTTGGTTAACGAGAGTTTAAAAATTCTCTCTAATCTGTGGCTCATTCACAATCATCACACAGTTTCTGTCACAGAATACCTTATTATAACCGGAAATGGATATATGACACCTGATTTGAAAAGTTACTCTTATGCATTAACTTTAAAAACAGACAACTATCTGTTAATGTACATTCTCGATATACCTGAATCTAATCCATAATTTCGGTACTTGGCTTGATTTCCCTAGTTTACTATATAACTTATTTGTTTTTTATTATTTTAATATGTTCAGTGTACATGGTTTATAGAATTTCTCAGGGGTGTCCGTCAATAATATTCGTTTCTACAGTAATTTATATATAATTTCGAATCTAGGAAACAATTTTTCATGATTATTGGTTTTTAGGCCAAACATGTATGGAAGCTGAGCAATCTAAATAACAAATGTCAAATTTTCTCAATCTATTATGAATCCTAAGTCTACTAATATAAAGCTCAAAACCAGGTAAAGAAATTAGTCGGGTTGTTTGACTTAGGTTTTTGCATAATGGAGGAAAGATGGTAAGGAGGTAGCGATATCGGACAAAATATCTTATGCTAGAACTTGTGGCTATTCGTATTTACTATTTGTAATATAGGAAAGATGGTAAGGAGATAGCGATATCGGACAAAATATCTTATGCTAGAACTTGTGGCTATTCGTATTAACTATTTGTAATATTGAAAATAGTCTTTCCTTATCATGCGCTATACCAATAATAAATGAAATGGAGAAAATTCACCTATCAAAAACAAAATATAAACAATGCTAATGCTTGCGACACTAGTGGGTTTCTCATTTTAATGCATTGCTACAGTACCAAGCGTAACACGTCGTGATTCAGCCGTATTCCGTTAGGTGGCGGTGTAGTCTGTTGAAACTCGCTATTGAAGCTGGATTCGCAAGGCTTAAAGGCCTCAGCCGCGTTTGTCAAAGCATACTTACCTGGCATAGGGGACACCGTGATCAGGAAGGCGGTTCCCCCAGGGCGAGGCTCCTCCATTGCACTGCGGTGGGGTTGACCCCTGCGATTATCCCTAATGTGGATAACTCGGATGCGTAATTTTTGGTAGTGGGGACTGCGTACGCGCTGTCCCCCCCTTAATAAGTAAAATTGACCGCTAAAGTTGAACCGGTTGAACGATGGATGTTTAGTCTAACTAACGACCATTCTCGATAATCGAAGTCCAGTAAGAGGTAAGCCTAGCCTACTGGAGCTTTTTGTTTCTAAAATATTTTACCATAATAACAATTGTTGCTAAGAAACTAGGGATGTCGAAAGTTGAAAAAAATATCGATATATCGATACATCGATATTTTAAAAAATATCAATATCGGCTTCGATATATCGCGAAAAAAACATCGATATATCGGACCAATTTTCCCAAAAATATCGTACAGTAGCTCACGAAATATGACACGCGGAATAATAATGGAACGAAAATTATCTCCCTAAAAATAGACCCTATTTTCGAATGATGACATAGACAATACTAAATACAGCACAGATCATAGATATGTTGAATATCATAAATCTGAGATCCAGTTACGATTTTTCCAGATACGAATTTAGTTAGATCGTGATATGCCGCTAATAATTAAAAAAATATCGTTTTTGATACGATTTTCGATATTGGTTATTTTGTATCGATATATCGAATCAAAATATATCGGCAAAAAATATATATTCAACAAGCCTATAAGAAACGGAACCAGGAATACCTTTTACTGGAGGTTCATTATTGAAACGGAAAACCGGCCAAGTGCGTATCGGACTCGTACACGAAGGGTTCGGTACCATAATCTATACAATATTAGATACCTATATTTAAATTTTGTGCAAAACCCGGAAAAATCACGTTCGTTTTAAGGGGGGCTCTCTTAAATATATTTAATTTTTTTTTAGTATTTGTTTTATAGTCGTAACAGAAGTGCATCATTTGTGAAAATTCAACTGCCTAGCTATCATTGTTCATGAGATACAGCCTGGCGACAGACAGACAGACGGACCGACAGTGGAGTCTTAGTTATAGGGTCCCGTTTTAACCTTTTCGGTTTCGAACCCTAAAAAACTATCTTTAGGAGATTTACTTGGATTAGATATGCGCAAATCGTTGTTCTCTTTTGGATGAAACCTGAAACCGTTCTTTATCATTCCGGTTTTTCTTGCAATCGCGGAACTATTTGGTATTGATGCAATTCTTTTCTCTATTAATAACATTCCATGTCGTTTTAATTTTATTAATAGAATTAATGATTTTATTTTGTATGTAATTGGATTTGGCTGTTGCACATACCCTTTTGAATGTCTTTAAGTACCTTTTATTATAATCAATGAAAGCCTAAGAGTGATTGTATTTCCTTAAGTGGTACCTCATGTGTCCATGGCATTTGAAACATGGTATCGTCAATATTGTTTTGAAAATTTTCTTATTGTTTATTCGTTACCGGCCTTAAGAGCCCATTCACATTTTTTACAATAAATCGTAATTTTTGAGCGCCTTATTTACCCCCTTTGAAAAGATTTTGACTATTTCCAATAGAAGTTAACAGTAGAATTATCCTTCCTATTGTAAGTTAATGTAGAATATTTGCAAATACTATTTTCTTATTTTTGTACTGATTGTTCTACTGCAGCTGGTTTACAGAAAAAAACGATAATATATTATAATCTAGACCAAATTAATTATTACGACATCAGAAATATGTTTTTGTTGTCACGTAATGTATTATAATTTTGATTTTCTATCTCATTAATTATCAAAAAAGTACATCTAACCTCCGTGAGTTTTCCCAAAAAATAATGCAGGCTTACCTCATATTTTGACATTGAATTAAATAGAATTACTATCAAAAAATTTCATAAAACTAATCTACCATCACTGAACTACTGAAATATGTATATATTTTTATAAATAGTTCATTAATAATTATTTTATAAGACTCTAAACATCACCCGTAAAATGCAATATATACTAGTGCAAATCTACCTACGCGCCGATTAGTACGGCAGCGGTGCAATTTTGTAAAAGGGCTCTTAATTCAATGAATTTTTATTAAATGTTATTTTTCAGCCGTAATGATCTGATGTGATACAATTAATAACGGATTTACTAACTAGATTATAATCTGAATAAATGTTATCCAAACAAGTGGCTGAATGAGATGTTACTGTAGCAGGGTCAAAAAATTGATGTACCAAATTAAAACATTTGAATAGTGATATTAGACGAATTGACATTGTATTATTTTAAAGAATGTTAATTTAATATTAAGGATTAAGAATTAGAACTGATTACAAAGAGCCACGATATTTATGTTATCTGTTTATCTGAACACTGGCAAAAACTTGTCAAAAAATTAGTTTTTGGTTGTAATTGGTGACTTCATCCATCCATCTAAGTCACCAACTACAACCGAAAACTTATTTTATGACTTTAATTTTTAGTACATTCTCCAACACTGATTCGAAAATACTAATGTTACCTAGAGGG